TTGATTGATGCAATTACTTTTTATAATATGTACATTTGGCTGTAAATACGTTTTACTTTTACTTCACTTTTTCTTAAGTACAATTTTAATGGATGGACTTTCACTTGAAATGGTTTTAAATCATCATATTAGTACTTTTACTTAAGTATCTAAGCTTGTCTCCCACCACTGCTAATTAACTACAACTACAGGATACTAATTAAAGTACACAGTGATGCACACACACATATATATATGTCCTTTGAGCTTATGGATTTTAAATTGAACTGAAAGTGCCTTATATATACTGCTGTCTTTACACCTAAGAAGTGAAAAATTGGTATGCACTCTGAGATTGTGTTGTAAAAAGATGCAGTGGCTTTTTGTCACTGAAAGCAGCAAGTATGGAGGGTGATTCTTGGGTCAAGGTGATTTGTCATGTCAAGCAACTTTTCACCTCAAGTTCTATGGTTGTTCCCCAGCCAGACAGCCTTCAGCAATGCCACGCTGTTTCCTGGCTCCACTTCATAATTGATGAGGAAGCAAGGAATATGGGATTTGATCCAGAGCGAGGGTGCCTTTTAGGCCTGGGACAGATGTATAGCAGTGCTCATTTTAACTCTTCATCTGAAATATGCAATGCCTACGAGGCCTGGTGGAAAGCTAGCTCAGTGGCAAACTAAAAGACAATTACAAACAATTTAAGATGAATGAAATGTCAGAGGTGTATATATATATATATATATACAGTGAGGAAAATAAGTATTTGAACACCCTGCTATTTTGCAAGTTCTCCCACTTAGAAATCATGGAGGGGTCTGAAATCGTCATCGTAGGTGCATGTCCACTGTGAGAGACATAATCTAAAAAAAAAATATCCAGAAATCACAATCTATGATTTTTTAAACTATTTATTTGTATGATACAGCTGCAAATAAGTATCTGAACACCTGTCTATCAGCTAGAATTCTGACTCTCAAAGACGTGTTAGTCTGCCTTCAAAATGTTCACCTGTTTGAGGTCGTTAGCTGCATAAAGACACCTGTCCACCCCATACAATCAGTAAGAATCCAACTACCAACATGGCCAAGACCAAAGAGCTGTCCAAAGACACTAGAGACAAAATTGTACACCTCCACAAGGCTGGAAAGGGCTACGGGGAAATTGCCAAGCAGAAAAAAGGTCCACTGTTGGAGCAATCATTAGAAAATGGAAGAAGCTAAACATGACTGTCAATCTCCCTCGGACTGGGGCTCCATGAAAGATCTCACCTCGTGGGGTCTCAATGATCCTAAGAAAGGTGAAAAATCAGCCCAGAACTACACGGGAGGAGCTGGTCAATGATCTGAAAACAGCTGGGACCACCGTTTCCAAGGTTACTGTTGGTAATACACTAAGACGTCATGGTTTGAAATCACGCATGGCACGGAAGGTTCCCCTGCTTAAACCAGCACATGTCAAGGCCTGTCTTCAGTTTGCCAATGACCATTTGGATGATCCAGAGGAGTCATTGGAGAAAGTCATGTGGTCAGATGAGACCAAAATAGAACTTTTTGGTCATAATTCCACTAACCGTGTTTGGAGGAAGAAGAATGATGAGTACCATCCCAAGAACACCATCCCTACTGTGAAGCATGGGGGTGGTAGCATCATGCTTTGGGGGTGTTTTTCTGCACATGGGACAGGGCGACTGCACTGTATTAAGGAGAGGATGACCGGGGCCATGTATTGCGAGATTTTGGGGAACAACCTCCTTCCCTCAGTTAGAGCATTGAAGATGGGTCGAGGCCGGGTCTTCCAACATGACAATGACCCGAAGCACACAGCCAGGATAACCAAGGAGTGGCTCTGTAAGAAGCATATCAAGGTTCTGGCGTGGCCTAGCCAGTCTCCAGACCTAAACCCAATAGAGAATCTTTGGAGGGAGCTCAAACTCCGTGTTTCTCAGCGACAGCCCAGAAACCTGACTGATCTAGAGAAGATCTGTGTGGAGGAGTGGGCCAAAATCCCTCCTGCAGTGTGTGCAAACTACAGGAAACGTTTGACCTCTGTAATTGCAAACAAAGGCTACTGTACCAAATATTAACATTGATTTTCTCAGGTGTTCAAATACTTATTTGCAGCTGTATCATACAAATAAATAGTTAAAAAAATCATAGATTGTGATTTCTGGATTTTTTTTTTTTTAGATTATGTCTCTCACAGTGGACATGCACCTACGATGACAATTTCAGACCCCTCCATGATTTCTAAGTGGGAGAACTTGCAAAATAGCAGGGTGTTCAAATACTTATTTTCCTCACTGTGTATATATATATATATATGGCAGCGGGGTACAGCGGAGAGGATACACCACTTTGAAATGTACATACTATCGTAGTGTAAATTCCCACAATCCGCTGTAATTATGGAAGTAGAGTGGGGCCAGGAGGAGGGTGATAATGCATAATGGTTTAGTATCTGGTCTAATGAGAATTATAAGAAATTATAACAGTAGATTACTTGAATGTAGCCTTTTCTTGTATGTAAAGACAATTTGGGGATTTTAGAATGAAGCCATCAACGGAGTTTTACCTTTCAATGTGCGTTATCTGCATTAAATATACATTCGTCTTTGGAAACAACTTGAACATTGCAATAAGCTCAACCAATCAGAGCGTCTCATTCATTACATTGTCATCAAAAATGACTACCGATTTTCTAAAAACAGTCAACATTCTGAATATGTAGTTTACATGATTAACAGTAGCCACATGTGGTTTTCTTTAAATTACATTTCTATAAAAAGTAAGAGTCTAAGTTGAGTCACATGTTTGTATGTTCACCGTAAAATTGTAGTAAACACAAGAGTTAAACTCTATTCAGAGTTTGTGATAAATTTACTCACACCTCACGTTTTAATTTTCTGTGTTAAATAAACTAAATAGAGTAAAATATGTAACACTAACTGGATAATTTTACCTAACTTAACCATTTATGTTCAGGAATCGATCGAAAAGAACTTATCTGCAACTATTTTGATAATAGATTTGCTCCTTTTCTTTGTGATGTACATTAAAAATTTGGGGGTTTTGGACACACCTTGGAGTCTTTACTACATTTTGACATTTAAAGACCATTAATCAGGAAAATAATGAGCAGATAAATCAATAATGAAAACAATCATTAGTTGTAGCCCTAGTGGTAGACTGTATAGTTTTTCATAACAAAGTAGTTATATGTGGTCATATACCAAAGTTGTGATATAATACAATGCATACAGTTGTGCTAACAATTTACCCAGTTCTGTGATCTGCCTCTGTCTCTGTAAAAGGCCAGTGCTCAACGCAGGGAGTTGGTTTAGCCTCCAACATAAGAATGATTTAAGTTCCTTCTCAAACTGAGCACATCTCATTTATTTTTTTGCCCTCTCACTTTCACTCGTACTTTCTTTTTTCGTCCCTCTTCTGAAAATTTGTCTGTTCCACTGAAAGGGACAGCAACCTTGGAGCTAAAAAGCAGATAAAAAGGACTTTTATCACTGCTGACCTCTGAAAACAATTTTAAAAGTGAACTTGTGAAAAAAACAGTTTTATATAATTTGTGTCTAATTTTAGGTTAAGAATATTGATTTTAAAAAGAGTCAGCAACTTGACAGACTGAAACTGTCTTTCAAATTATTAGCGATTGAATGAATTTAATAGATGAATAACTATTACAATATACCTAATTCTAGTTTCTATTTTTAAAGACAAATCCATGGCTATAGGCCTATAGTGTTTAAGAAAGTATGTAGTGAGTATTTTCTTCTATTATTGTTTTATTATTTATTCCTTGCTCAAAAATGTCCCAGCAGGCTTTAAATTGTGGTATGTAAACTTTAAATTGTGAACCAACAAAATTATAAATTTTCCACAAATACATGTGGATGATGGATATAGCATAACTACAGGGAGAAAACAAAGACTTTATAATCCTAATTTTAATTTTGAAAACATTTTTTTAAGCCCTTATCTTACACTGTTATGTGCACAGTTTGAGTTTTCTAGAAAAACCCATTCTGTATTAAACTTTGATGTTATATGTTTTTTAACAATCAAATTTGAATGTTTATCAGTCTGATCTTATCTTTTCTGCCAGTGTTCGCATCTATTTTATACAGCGGATCTATGCAATGTACCACAAACAGCAAACAGCTTTGGTTATATAATTTTCACAGTTCAGACGTCCATGAAAAACTGTTGCGTAACTTTTTATGTTTAACATGGAATTAGAAAACATATCCACTAAGCTTTTAAAAACACATTTCTAATCTCCAGCGCTCTAAAAACATATTTATTTTTCAGAATTTAATCAACCAATTTCTCAGACTAAACCATAAACAACACCAGCAAAGACATATCATCATACATCATCAAATTTTCTGTCAGTATGGAAAATGTCACTAATTTTCCTAACACACATTGTTGAAAAAGTAATAAAATCCGATCAGTGAGAAACACATGGAGAAAATGCGCTTTAATCTTCCCTCTACAGCAAAGCTTTCCTCTCTGCGGGTGATTGAAATGTGGAGCATGCAGTGTACAGTGTACTGTGTACTCCACCATCGTATAAAAATATTCACACTGGTCTCACCGAGATCAAGTGCATACAAAAAATCTTCATGTGGAATGAAAATACTTTTTTTCTTGATTTCTGGGCTTTTAATAAATAATTCAGATGCAATCTAACTCTAAAGTATGATGTAAAGTCCACAGAAGAGATTTCAAAGACTTATATGTATAAGAATGTTTAAGAGTATTCCACCAGTTAGAATAATCACACACTTTGGACTACAGTCATTAATGGATTCATGAAAACAACCCAGTGTTACAGAAGAAACATAATAATTTCAGATTGCATGCAGTTAAAATCTTATTAGATATTTGCAAGGTTTATTACGTCATCTCAAAGCAACATACACCAGTGTTCAACAGCACACAATCACTTAACAGCCGAACAACACACAGTCAAAACAGCTATGAGAAGAGAATCACACTCACCTTGGCGACCCTGTTGGCGACCTCCCGACCCACCATTAGCCCCTGTACAAATGTCCGTGCAGCGATGAAGGCCCTGGTGACCTGGGCCTTCAGTTTCCTGGGCACATCTCCAAAGGGCTTTAGCTGATCTGTGTATTTACTGACGCACTCCAGGTAGTCGTCTGTGAAGTGGTACTGGGAGTTGAGTAACTGGAACATCCGCTCCAGCAGCCTGGACCAGAAGTCATTCAGCATCTCCTCCAGGTTGACGTTGCCCCCCGTATAGTAGCGCTTTAGCTCAGTAAACAGGTCCTGGAACACCTCCGAGTTCTGCATATACAGCTTCCCGTACGTCCGTGTGAACATACTGTTGAGAGACTTCTCAGAATTGTCCAGCAGCTCCAAGAAAAACTCTAGATGGATTGATGGTTTGGGGAGAGGAGGGAGAGACAGAAAAGACAAGTGGGTCAATATGCAGATATCTACAGTATCTGATGTCTTTACTTACAATATAAACCAGACAAAAAGCTTCAAAAGCATTAGAGCAAGTAATAATCTAGTCTGAGTACGGTTGTTGTTCTTGAATGCATCATTTTATGGCTCTGTCTGCATACACAGGAGCAATGTATAGCAGCCAACAATAGGTACTTGATTATGTGAAGAAAGTCAGGCCAAGGCATTAATAATTGAATAGTAGAAAGAATGGGCCACAAGGACTATGAATGATTAATGTACAGGTTCTGATTGCATACTGTAACATAATATTCATAAGTTTTAGACACAGACACTAGTATACATTATCATCCTGAGAACTCACCATTATTCCCAAATGTATTACTTTTTCACTGAAACAATTTATTTGTCCAGCAAGGCAGCTGGGCTACGAGCCTATAATTGAATATTATGTTACAGTACATTCATTTGCTTCGAATAATCTGAGGAGCATAAGAAACAAAATGTCACCGTGAGAGAAGCACATACTATTTTATTTCTATTACTATATATGCCATTGATTTAGTATACACACATCACACTGTGTAACACTTTTGAACATCATTCAAAAATAAAAAACTTTATAACACCTATGTTTTAACATTCCTTAAAGCCGAACAGAACTTTTAATTCTTCTTCTCAAGGATATTTTTATATTTTAAAAAGAGGATAAAACCATTTTTAGACATATTACTGCAAACAGTGTCTAACCTTAAAGCCCCTGGGTTGGCTTTTTCCCATGGCAACAGCTGACTGACATTCAAGATTCGGCATAGCTACAGTAGAAGACATGCTGTAAACTTCTGTGGCGGTGCGCTACTGACTGTGAAACCTCAGACTGTAAAGCTTATGAACGTTGTTACAAACCATTTCTTACTCTTTTCAACAAACCCACATGTTTCACTATGTATCGTTAGGGTTTTAATTTTAGCCTCTGTGAGGACATTTGTGCTGTTGCTCGTATTACTCTCTGATAGTAAAAGCGAGCAAGCAAGGCTAATGACTATCCACTGGACTCGTGGAAGCTAGTTAGCTTAACACACATGTAGTACTTGCCAGTAGTTATGTGTGACATATTTCAGGTAATTGCCACAGTGCCTAAGAGCCCATTAAGACCACAGACATGTGGACGTTTATCAAAGCTCACTGGGACACGAAGGGTAGGAAAGTGGGGAACAAGTTTCAGTTAAGTTTACTTTGTGTTGGTATTTTTTTTCACATTAGACACACTTGCCGTCATGTGAACACGCATTTAAGTCCTCAAGACCACAAGTGTGGATACTGGGACAGAGCTGTTTTTTCAAAACCTGCTGAGTCATCGGCAGCTCCTGCACACCCAGTGTTGTATTTGTCCCACATTATACAAAATGGGGCTCTAGCTAGCGTTAGCTAGTTCATGCATCCGGATGTAATGGCAAATAACCAAACTGAAAAATCAGATCAACAAATAATCCTATGACTTTAGCATCCCCTACATAAATCAACACACGTACTAAAAATATTTTATTTCTTCTTTTTAGACACTGCAATTTTGATGCAATAAGTACATTAGTCAAAATATATATATGCTGATTTCTTAACAAAAAATGTACTTCAGCTTCAGTTCTGAGGGGACCCCAGGGGAAAGACCCAGAACTCGCTGGAGGGATTGCATATCTCATCTGGCCTGGGATCCCCCAGGAATAGCTGCAAAGTGTTGCTGGCGAGAGGTATCTGGAATATCCTGCTTAGCCTGCTGCCACTGCGAACCGACCCCGGAAAAACGGAAGATAATGGATGGATGGAAATTACTTCAAACACAGACATCAAAATGCACAAGTGCAACGATACAATTCAAATTTAACATTCACAGAAATTATTATTATTGTTTCTTTGTAATCTGCTCTAGTGGCTTTCTTCCATGTGAGCACCTGATCTCTTGAGCATTAACTCATAAAGAAAAATAGGCAGCATTAACAGGGGAATCTCAGCGAAGCCTCACTAATAGGATCCCATGTTCCTGTGTGCACAGGCGTAAATGTTGGGAAGATCATAACGTATCTCTCCATGCACAAATGTCAAATATTCCTCCTCCCTTCTTTGTAAACAAACATTTCACATGATGTGCTTGCTAATAAACCACACAGGAGCTCTGCTTCTGGTTGGGTATTCTGGCTGGCTGACATTTCTTTGCATTGTAAATTATATCAGTCTCACCCTTGCATGGTGGCCATATCTACTTTAACAATTCATTTCCCTCCTGTGATCATATGGCTAGACCATAAGGCACGTTGAATCATGATGAATCGGTTCACATGCAGTCTATTTTGTTTATAGTGAAAAATGGCTGTGCTGTATGTAGTCAAGGGGGGAAAAAGTAAGAAATGTTTGACAAATTAAAAACAAGAAACATAAAAAATGCAAACATTAGAATCTCAGATGGAGTTTTAAGATTAACATTTTATGGGTATTTAATTTCATATTTAATTTTGACTGAGTTTAAGTTGAGGGCATTTGAAATACTAGTTCTATTTAATATTTAAAAATATTTAAAGGGTAAAACATCAGTTTATTCATTTACATGATTAAAAACAACAAAATGAATTTATATTAAATTGTTCCATTTTATATTAAAATCCTTTAATATTTTGTTTGTTATACAGGTTAGCAGAATTGAAAAATATTAGACTTATTCCTGCCTGACTAAGTCACACACTTAATAAAAACCCTATCAATAAGATTTTCAAAAACACAACATGTAAATAGATGGACAATTCAGACAACTATCATATCCTGATCCACATTCTTGACTGTGTGCATCATTCAAAAATATCACACTATATTTTGGCATAGTGTACACTCAGATCTTGATGGAAAAGACAACGTTTAAATGAACTGCTATGTTAATCCAAACACTCGTACTGCAGCTGGGTTGAAGAGTCAAACTCTGAACAGTCTGACATCTCAAATCCAAAATCCTGAACCCTGCATGATAATCCACTGTTCTGCAAAGTGTGCTAAATCACCAGTTTCAGTGCCCAAGAAGCTTACTGTAATATATTATATCTGCATATCCTCTGGCTCTACATGCTAATGTTACCAGAGGTTTGCTTGCCCACCACGTCCAAGATTGGTGGGAGTTATAGCTCATGCTAAACTGCTCTGGAATCCCTTTGTATTCCTCGCCTTTTTTGCGGCTTGTTTAGCCAGTCCTCCTTTCTTTCGACTGAAATGGTACACCATGTCCTCACCTAAAACAATGACTAGTCCCTAGTCACTCATTCTAGTTTCTTTGCACCTGAGTGACCTGCCATTAAACCTACATTTGTTTAAATATTAAGAGCCTGCAGGGCCTTATTCATTAAATTTTTCCAATTAGACCTAAATCAAGGACACGTAAGCCCCTGTGTATTGTGCATGCAATATTGTATTTGTGTTCCCATTCAGATAACGGAGAATATGTAATACACATTATAAACAAAAGCAACACAATATTATTGATATTATTTACTGTAGCTATGTGTGAAACGACTCAAGAGTTGAGATGTTTTCTTCTACATTTGACTACATGTTTTATTTGAGAATGCAAATGATGACCCATTGTTTCTGCCAAGCTGCTGATCTTCAGGCTACCTAACCTTGCAGGGTCCTAAGAAGGCTGTGGCAAACCTAGGGAATCCACCTTAATCATCACATGATCATTTTTGCTTTCACATTTTGAAATTTAATGAATGAAAGGAGTGGAAAATATATTAACATATATACTCCTGCAATCTGTTCCTTATACTGACTGAAAGACTAATACTTAATAATAAGATAAAATAACATGTGGATCTGGACTACACAAATGTTTTACCTCTAAGCAGGAATAGGCCAGTGGCGATAACCGCATGATGACATTCATTACTATGATTATATGGAGTGTGGTTATTGATTTTCAAATCAAAATGACATTAAATGGCCTTCTGTTATTTAGGCATTTGTGGACTCTGTTCGACTAAAAACCAGCCAAGATTTTTCATCCACACAGCATCATCAAAGATCTCTGCAACAGAGGCTGACATTTTTTCGGGAATCTTGGGTGGGTCAAGGTATTCCTCTGGGATGGGAGTCAATTTCACTATTCATCACAGGGCTGAGACAGGAGAGGAAAAAAAGTCAATGGCATCGGGCGGGGACAGGAATCATAGATCAGTTTTTTTATATAAATACGCAGTTCTAATATGGATAAACTATTTTTTTTTATTGGGAACTGGATAGGATGAGAGTCATTATCCCGGGATTGGGACGGGGCAAGATAATTTATGTGACGGGACAAGACTGAAAATCCATTCCTGTGTTACCCTCTACTCTGCAGCAACTCACACTTTTCATTTGCTGTTTATAAAATCTGTGTGTGTTTGAAAAACAGTTCTGGTTGAATTAATGTTGGAAACTCTCAATGGAGAAATTACTATATTTAACAAACTATAGCCTATGCTTTAAAAAGGTTTCTTATGACATAATTTCAGGTGCCCATAATTGTGAGTGCAAATCAGTTTATTAATTGACCAAAGTTACATGATCTAAACTCAAGATTTGTTAAACTAAAGAGCAAGTATACTGAAATAATTCCCACCCTTCTCTTGGGCAACTGTTTAGTTTTTATGTGATTTCAAGGCGTGTTACCTGGAATGCAGACTGTACTGATAGTTTCACACAGCAACTACTGCTTGCCAACTCATGAAGAGTGAATAGCTCTCTGCTGGCCAGAATACATATTTGGCCAAGGAATTATCATTGAGAGTTATTGACCTTGGATAACTGTCAGCTATCCGGCCTTCATGGTCTTAATATTTAGAAACATGTCTATACATGGGTGTATGCTTCCTGACACAGTCCATTTAGGAATCATACCACATCCAAATCTCTCAAGTAATGAAGGATGTACAAAACAGTTGGA